GATAAATGAACAATAAATAAATGACTGAAGAACCCAGGACTTGATTTTAATTTTGGAATTGAAACACAGTCAGGAAAGTACGTACAATTAAAATTAATTTACGCATTTAAATAATACGGGAACTGTACTCGAAAACATTAGAGGGTAGTCATGAGTTAAGTCATCTTGTTTAATGATCAACAAGTACAAATAAAAATATTGTGGCACATTTTGTTATCGATCGTTTTTGAGCGTGAAACATTTTCAGTCAAATTTATAATTGTCATATTTTAATAAATAAAATTAAAGAGAAATAATCAAATATAGAATATCCGACTTATCATCAACATTATGTAGGCTTATCATTTATAAAAATTAGCGTACACTAAATTGATCATACAAGGCAGAAGAAAAACATCTACTTTTAACGTTAATTTAAATTGAAATGTTTTAAATTTAAATAGTAGCATTATGCCATTTTTGCTTATTTCTCTGAAAAATTAATCGAATTTATTTTCAGGATGACATTGAGGATAAATGTGACGACTTGGCTAGTGCTGAAGCTGAATAGATTTGCAATGAAGATGGAAAGCGAATCAAAGTTTTAATTTTAGGAACTACTGCTAATGCTACGACGGCTTTTTAAAGCTGAATGCAGAATAACATGGTGCTAATCCTATTTAGATTGTAACTGCTGCTTTAGGGACATTTAATATCTATTAAATGTAGTGGTTAGATTGTAATTAATTTTTTGATATCAACTAAGTTTACCTACTTAATGTTGCATTCTTGTTACTTTACATACTTACATACACACTGCCCTATTATATTACTGTATATTATGTATTTAAGAATAAAGCTCTCTATATTCTACACTACAGTTCTGTCAGAAATTGTGTCTAGAATGTTGCCATCGACGTTCACCATCTGTCTTATGGTATCATTTTCAAAAATTCATTTCAAGGACCATCAGCCTATCCTTATCTCTTTTACTGATGTCCCAAGTCTTTACTTCGTAGGTGCATATACTTTCTACGATCGTTTTATAGATAGTAATTTTCGTTTTTTTTTGTTATTGCTGAGCTCCAAAGTAACGACATTAGTTGTCGAATAACTCTCCTTCCTTGACCTATCTTATTAGTGATATCGCAGGCACTTTTATCGTTGGAAGACAGTGTAACTCCAAGGTACTTAAATAAAGAACAACTCTTGATCTTATCGTGTCCCTCTTTCAAATATTGTCCTGCCCCTACTACCAAATATTCGATCTTTTTTATGTTTACAGTGAAGCCCCAGTTTTCATAGCTCTCTTGAAGTTTGCGAAGCTTTGTCCTCATCATCCGCTAAAATAACAAGGTCATCCGCGAATAGTAGGGTATATAAGGTGGCGCCATTGATACACACGCCCATCTTGAAACATTTCCGTTTCCAAGATCTAAGCGCTTCTTTGAGATATATTTTGAACAATACGGAAGCTAAAGAGCACCCCTTGTCTTATGCCTTTCATCACTTGAAATTCCTGGGAAAATCGCTTTCCTATCTTTACTGAACTTGAATTGTTTGAATATAGCGCTAATATAGGCCTCATCGATACCACTGTTTCTCATGCAAAGCCATAACTTGTTTAACGGCACTGTATCGTATGCCCTCTGTAGGTCAACGAATATCAAATGAACAGCCCTTCCTCTTTCGATACGTTTTTCTATCAAGTTTTTTAATGTGAAAACACCATCAATACATGGTCTTACTGCCCTGAATCCTTTTCTAAACCCCTATCGACAACCTTTTGAGCAGGGCGCTATTCACCGCTAAGAATACCGATGCACTCGCACTCAGCTCGAGCAGTAGCTCAAACATTACCGGACACTTAATATTTATTTTTTTATTTTTATTAATACGCATTGTTACGCACAACGCTTTTTAGTTGAGGGATCTTTGAATTTTGAACATATTTTCGTTATTTTAAAGTGCATTTAATATTTATTATTTCATTGTTTATTACTATTA